CTGTAGCTACGCCAGTATATTCATAGCAGTGCGAAAGTCAATTGCCGTCTCGTCTGCCTATACGAACGGTGCAGCTTATTGAATTGATTTGTCCCACTGGTTCGGTTGACAGCATGTATTTGTCCGGATCATTAAATTAGTGGCTTGTTTCAGTTCCTGCTGCTGCAGTTTGTTTATCTTTCAGATGGCCTGCCACCACCTCCAGCTTCGGTGATGATAGACGATGATCCACTGCCACCGCCGCCACCGCCTGTTTCGATGGCACCAGCCTATGGGTCACTGGCAGCGAGAAATCCCCCAAAATCATCAACAAATGACCGTTCATCATTCGCGCTGGGCCCTCAGTTCGACCGTTCCTATGATTGGATCCCAAAAGTTTACATTGAAAAAGGTTTAAATAAAACCTTTTTATAAGAATAACAAATGCCATTTCTTCTTTCTTTATTCCTCATATTGAATATTTCACGATAATTATCGGACAATTGGGATACTTACTGTTTAATCTTTTTTCCTATTAATACATATGCTTGAAATACTTGGACCTGCTGCAGTTCACCGCTTAGTTTTCCAGCCGTGCATCTGAAAACTTTTGTTGTTGCTTTGACAAATACCTCACTGGCTGATGGTTGGACTGCTGGCGATCTGGCGTTCGTTTCATTTCCTCAAAATTGGATTATCGAACTGTCAGAACCATCGAACCAAACTATAAAGTTTTGTGAAAACGAAAAATTATTATAAAATAATACTCATCACCTCTTGGGTATCTTTTAGTAATAACTGCCTATGGAAAAAAAAAAGGATTACAAATCGGAAACTGATATTGCGTTCCGTCATTTTTAAATCAGCTTTTTCAGCAGTTGCTTTGTACGACTATGAAGCGGAGAAACCGGATGAGCTTACACTTCGAGAAAACTGTATCGTTTATGTGTTACGGAAAAATGATGATGGCTGGTATGAAGGTGTCTTGAACGGATGCACTGGACTCTTTCCTGGGAATTATGTTCGGACCATCAGCTGAACTGCTGAAACAAGGTATTTTTGATATTTTGGAACAGATCTTAGTCTTCTTGAAAGGTATCAGTCTTCTTTTATCGCCTCATAGCCTTATTTCAGATAAAGTGCTTCTCAGTACATATTGCAAAGAACAAAAAAGCTTACTTCCTACTTAGTATTATGCAGCTGTTGGCGGAAGAATTCAGAATTAAATCGTGTGGTACTTCCAAGAATTTCACGATATTCAAGCGGGCCCCAGAATTTCGGGGAAAATTGCGCCGAGTTTGAAGCCGTATGTTCTTAGAGCTTTGCGGAATTCTTGTTCACTGGAGCCTGAAGTCTCACCATATTTTTTGTTGTTTTTTCAACGCTGCCTTCTCGCTTGTTTATTCTGGCATCTTATTTTTGTTGTTCTGTTTTTTACAGTTGTTTAGTTTCTGGAAATCGCCCAAGTCAGTTAACTTTACAAATTTTCATACCTTGAATACCTTGAACAGCTGTTGTTTCATCGATCTCTGATGTCACGCCATCGATGCAGCTG